TGTTTAAGCAGTATGTTGCCGCCTCTAAATCTGGAGCGTATCTCAACACGTCCAATGATGCTGTCAATGATAGATGAAGAACGTCCATCACAGCTGCCTTATTTTTGGATATTGCGGTCTCAACAGCATTATGAGTGATAAAAGTAGTCTTATCTTTGGACAAGGTCAGATACTGTTGATTGATGTCTGCCGCAATACCACCGAATTGCACCAACATTTGTTGGAAGAAAGTATTTCTCCATTTGTTGAAAGGGCTAAATGACGCCTTCGTCTCGCCAGAGGAAACGACAAACCGTGAAAGTTGAGACCATGATCTGATGTTGATCAAGCATGCCTCTTTATGAGAACTAGCGGGAGCGATAAGTCCTTCGATAAGAGACACTGAAGGCCGGGTGTCGGGTGGTGCCGCCCAGAACAGAGTGCCTATGAGATCATGGTGATTTCTTAAAGCAGCCAAGTCCCGTTCATGAATGTTGTGTTCCCTGAGATACAATCGACTATGATTTGGTATTGTTCGAGTGATTAGATTGCGTATGTCTTTCTCTGAGCCATATTTCTGAAGTTTCTTTATGCTCATGGCAAGCAATTTCAGAAATATATGAAAACAGAAGTCACCCTCCTCAACTTCAAGAACTGGTCCATCGGCTAGAGTCTCCAGGAACTGCGGTGACCTATAGACTTCTTCATTTCTAAGATGCGCAAGCCTCCGTGACCCAAAGAAGTCAAAGATAACACCAATGACCGACGCGCTACGGAGCCAACCCCATTGTTGAACTAGGTAGTGGCATCGCGAAATAAGAGCACGGCAGTAGCTATTGAAGCTCGCAGTCTGCTGATCATTCTCCTGGTACAGCTGAAAGACTCGACGGATAAGCTTCTGAGGTATTGACCACCCCTCGTTTACCGCCTTGTGTCGTTTCTCAGCCACCACTTTCCCGGCGTCGTCAAATTCGAAAAGCGGGAGGAGAGTGAAGATTATCTCCCAGACATTTTCTAATTCACGAGCGTCTGCGTTGGAGAGAACTTCTGGCTTCAAGACAACTGTTTCTAATACATTCCAGAAAGAAACTTGTCGTGAGCCTACATGCTCAAAAGATTTGATCAGCATGATCCATGAATGCATTTCGACGGCACTTTCCCCTAACATGCGGCCACTGCAACGTAGTTGACTGAATTCTTGATAAATTTGCTTGAATTGATTGATACCGCAGCGGAGAAGGACCGAAATCATCAACTTTGCCGATAATAACATCGTCTGTTCTGCAATGGGAAGCTCATCCATGAGTTGTGGTGTGGTTTGACAATGTTTTACCATCATGGAGGACATTAGGAACACCCTGTCCAGTGTTTTCAAAAGAAGTTGACGATTTGCGGCACGGGTAAATGAAGCCTGCCCAAGCCCGATATTGACTCGATCGATGAACCCCCCCAAAACTTCTTGTAGTCGCGGTATAAGAGGGGGAATTTGAAAGTCCAATTGCACTGGATCGAGGATATCTTCTACGTATTCCAAAGTAGAATGGACGGCATCAATAACGTAATGGCTGTCGTGGAGGCCCTCCTCCTGACCATCTTCCAGTTGCTCAGCGATTAAGTCAAATAGAATCCCAATTTCAGATGACACTTTAGGATTCCAGGAGCTCCAAATAAACATTTGGTTATTGAGTTTGACCGAGATTTGTCTGTTAAGGCTGGATATTCTCATACGTGAGTCGTCCATCAGGAAGGCCTTCCAAGTGCCACTGCCAAGTATTGTTGATTTGTGAAGCTGGATTCCAGGGATGAGAGGAAATATTTCGAAATGATGGGTGTATCGGGTACCATAAGGACCTAGGCCATAGAGCTTGCTCTTTTCTGATGGAATGTCATTGATTAAAATAGGAGCATCCACTGGAAGGGGATCTGCAGCATGGGTATATTGAGGTGCTGTGACATCAATTCGACGAGGCCTGGTGCTCTTTCGAGGCCTTGTTTGCCTTGCCTTTTGCTCTTGTTCCTGGAATATACGCGACGGCGTGTATTCGGTGATGCTAGATTCCGCATCACCAGGGACCAAGGTATTATTAGTTTCGGCCAGATGCCAGTCAAATTTCTTTTGCGTTTGCTTGTTGAAAATACGATCTAGCGCCCTCTTCTTTGAGCGAAACGAAACGATGGCTTCCCCAGTTCTCTCATCGACTTCTAGCTGAGCTTCCCTTGAAGCAGGCGAAGGCAGACGGGTGCTGTCGCCTAATGGAGGTGTGAAGGTTTCGTTGGTGCTGTTATATGATTGATTTCGTCGGTAGCCAATAAAGCCACTCTCACCGTGATACTTGACAAATTTGCGGGAAATCCCTCTGAATGTACCGAATGTGTTCCTGGAAGCTGGCTTCCCCTTTGAAAAGTCTTGATCTATGTTTTTCCTCTGACGTCGTCTTCGATTGGACTGGCTTGCTGCCGATACTGAAGGCCGCTGTGCAATCAACCCTGACTTCCACTTCTCTATAATAGACATAGCATCTATCTGGTCTTGCCTAGTAGCCAATCTGATTGTTTTTTGCTGTACGCTACTACGTCCTAGATTCATAGTTTGTTTAGCAGAGCGTGCAGCAATGCGTATAAATCTAGGAGCATCCGGCTCTATCGTGTCAAGGATACCAAGGAGAGGGGATGTGAAAGACGGTTTTGGTTTGCTGGTTGAGGTCCCGTAGTTATTGTCAGACGATAAAGAGTCATCCGAGAAATGATCGACGGGCAATGATCCAGTGAATTCGTCCTTTTCAGAATGGAAAAATCCGGTGATAGTCTGTTGTTGTCTTGGACGAGATCGCGCAAATTGACTCCGGGATCCTCTGCTTGACACCTTGGCTCGTTTCCTGCTTCTTTTTGAATTCCTGGCAAGTTGGAGCTGACGCTTGCTACCAATGACCATGGGGACCACACGGTCTTTTTCCAGAGCCGAGTGTTCGTCGGCTCCATCATTCTCTCGCCCTGGAGAATGCGAGAATGCCATCTTATATTGATGCTCAGATAACTCATTTGCCGTATAGCGGTCTGGACTCTCTTCACCCAGTTCCATCGGAACGTCATTCAAAGCATTGGAATCGGGCGCTACTTTTTTGGTAATAGCTATTCCCCGTTGTTGTTGATTGGAAATCCGAAGCTGTGATTTCTTCTTGACAACCTGGTGACAACTCTCCTTACTCGTTTGCTGATCTAGACGAAGCCAGGAAGCAGGAAGAACACCCCGAATACGACGCCTGAATTCAGTCACCGCTTGGTGTACATCGCCCCCGGCTTCACTCGGAGTCTCTGACGTTTCTCGTTCCCTGTGTTGGCCATGTCCACTTTGACTGCTGAGCTCCTGAGAGGATACTGAGATCACAGAAGCAGGATCTAGAGTTTTAGGAGACAATACTGGAGTATAGTTTTGCTGATCAATGACTTTCTCGGGTGCAACCTGCTGAGCATTTGAATCTGGCCATTCTACAGAAGGGCTGGGAGACCGTGATATTCGACCAACGGCAAAGCTGGGTTCCGGCGAATCACTGTAGATAATGCCTCGTCTCTTGATTCTCTGGGTCAAGGGATGGATCTGAGACGCCCGTTGCATCTTCTTGTTCGTCTTCCCGGTCTGCAAATTCCGTTTCAGGAGCTGACTCAAGTCTGGTAAGTCTTGGTCGAAGGCATCATCGTTGACTGCATTTGTCGGCGAGCTAGCTGAACTGTTGCCGGCAGTTTGGCTATTGTGTTGGGGAGCATTTGACCAAAGTAGATTAACATCTGACGTACGACGTTCTCGCAGGGAGGTAGTGAAGCTGCTAGCCTCTGTGTTGTTGGATCCTGGCGGCAAATCATCATCTTGGCTGTCCAGGTTAAAGTCCCCATCCTGTGATGCTCTTGGTAGCAAGACCTTCTCTGTACCAACCACCATCTTCACGGGTACAAGTCCGTGCTGCCTAAAATCATTGCTATGGCGCGCAAGGTCAATAGCATATGGATGCTCTTGGATCAGTGTTCGAGGCCGCAAGGATCGTCTGTGGCCGACCGTGGCCACTGTCCCTTCCCAGTTCGTAGCACAGTGGTGAACGTCATCACCTCCAGATATCGCTGGTGCTTTATGGGAGGTTGAAAGCGTTGAGACGAAGTCGTTATTCCCCGAGGCAGTTGCATTTGCGACTCCAGAGCTACTGATATCCTCGGTATTCTGGCTGCTGCGAGAAGCTACCTCGTTAAACGTAGGTACGAGAAAGGGAGAGCTTGTCTCTGGATTGTTTAGAGGGAATGGTTGTACCTGGTTCTGAGAGAGATCCTCGGCTAAGGGAAACGGGATGGCAGCAGTCTCAGGCTCGGGCTTTTCTCGTAAACTTGGCCTCGGCGATAATGGAGGGACCTCCGGGATGGGGGTGTCGGCTTGGCCATCGTCCTCAGATTCAGGGACGTCCCAAATGCTTTCTGGGTGTTGGGCTTTGGACATAGAGCTTGTGACTGGTATTTGCGTGGATGATAGAGGTAGTGTTTCATCATCCGCAAAGTAATCACCTTCATCTTCAGAATCTGGTATCTCTCCAAGCTCCCTCCAGTTAGACATTGTCCATGTCCATGATGCTGGTTGAAGTTAACGCTGGGTCGATAACGCGTAAAGAGCTACACGCTTTACGCGCCCCGCCAAGCAATCCATCCAGGTACGTACAGTGTCGGAAATATTACACACACTGAGTTTGCCTCTTTCTGCCCCACTCTACAATTCGACTACAAACGACTTCATCTGATACCAATTCGACGCTGAACACTGCGATAAAGGTACTAGTATATACGAGCACGAGTATATATTCCATACCACTTTCCGCTTAACCTCCCTTCCAATGAGTATTTCATCCCTTCCGATATACTTAATCGTATTCGAATACATTCATAAGGCCAGACCCACCTGCTCTCTGATTGCTTGATGGTGAGGTTTGCAGGGAACCCTCCGCCAGCTGCTCAATTGGATGGGGATGAGGACTGCTGGAGTCTGGCCAATGGTTTCGTTGACCGTCAGGCTGTCGACACGCATTCCACGCGCCATACATACGTCTGCCATCCACTTAAACAATCGCAGTGGAGGAAATGGCGTCAAACCCGCCGAGGACGTAATAGATCATAATGACGAGACCGAACATCAAACCGGTACAGAAACATCCGGCGGGCGTTGGAGAGGCAACGCAACAGGCTCTATGAGAGCACGCCAGCAACGGAGGAGACAGGTTTCTGCTTTGCCACCGGTCGAACTACCTCAGAGCTTCCTTCAACATAACATATGCCATTACTCACCCCAAGAACCACCACGACTGCCCATCGCGCTGGCGGAAGATGCAAAACACGCAAAATTATCCCCACTTTCAATTGACCAAGGACCATCCATAAAACAAAAGTCTGAAGCCCTGGAGATATATTTTGAAGCAGCGTTGAAGCACCTCTTTGCCCGGGGCCATGAACTCGCCGTGGACTTTGAAAACTTTCGTTTAGACAAAGAGGATCGAAGATGGGAATCTCCAGAGATTATAGCACGGGCAGTCCGGATCGGGGATATGACTGTTGACTCGGTTATGCATTTGATCAATGCTATATACCCTACCCGAGTATCCGAATATTCTTACAAAGTACGACCGTTTTGGTGGTCTCATGTTCCTAAAATTTTGAACAGTGGGCTGCCGGGCCATCGTGACCAGCTCTCTTCGCTTGTGGCTTCTTTGGATGATCAGCTTGATTTTGCTGAACAATATGAATATCCCCTGCCCCATGTTATCGCCGACCTCCCCGTTGACACGTTCGTCGCTCTGCGAAAGTTGATATCTCGCGAGTTGCTCGCATCACCACCGCCATCGTTCGATTATAAAACCAGCAAGAGACCAATCACAATTCTTTCTGTATCAGGATATGGAGGGAAGTCAATTTCGGAGGCGGTCGGAAAATACTTCGCACACTACAGCGGCGCAGACTTGATCCAACTGAATGCGTATAATCTCTCGGAGCTTGTCGGTGACTATTTGGGTCAAAATTTGGCTTTTTCACGGGGCCCTCTTTCAATGTTGGGATTCAGAGCTGCCGAATTGAATGGCAAAACCGCAGGTGGTCGGGATGAGAGGCCACTTGAGAGCCAGGATGACGACTCCGATGCGGACGCTGGAATTACCACAAGTAATTCAAGCTCATCGACTGTGGTAGAGGAGCTCCAGAAGTTACGCCAGGGAGAGTACGAGAGTTTCAGCAAGTGGGAAAATCTGAAGATTGACAAAATATTGGACCAAATTATTCGATCGGCTAGCCTTGGCTTTCCTCAATCTCGTACTCGACCAGTATTGATCCATCTCCACGACATCATTGAGTTAGGCATGACAATTGAAGGCTCTCTACTGATTAGCCGGCTACGAGCCCTCGCGGACATTGCCTGGCAGCAAGGTTTGCAAATCGCTATTCTCGGTTCCTCATCATGTGAACAACAGTCAGAAGAATACTTGAATACGATCAGGGAATTTGCCACTAACGACTTTGTCATCACCCGCCAAGTCCAACCAGATTATGTTGAGCGGTATAATACAGCAAAGGGACATGTTCGAACTCAAATGCCATTCCACCTGCAAAAGGCCGATTACCTTGTTGAAAATGTTGACAATATTACACGCATGCTGAGAGCTCTGGATCCTGAATCATCGTCGGAAGTTTCTGGCCTGTCACTTGAATCCGTTTTAACCTATCTGCGTTCTTCAAACCCAAAATTTTCGATGTTACAGACTTCGATTCTTCCGGCACCCGAAATTTATCACTTAGCATGTGCCTTCAAGTCACAAGATAAGGCTAATGCTGATAGCTCACAATCCGGCTTTCAAGAGCGCTTTAACCTGGGTCGCCTCCAACAGTGGCATGGCGATAATCTCCTCAGCGAAGATCATGCTGAAGGGGATGTTTTCAATGCAGCTCCTTCAGCTAGTGATGATCCTACTACTTTGGAGGGTCGTGCTACCTTGAAGTTGAATGAATACGAGAAGCGAATAGCTTCTGGCCAGATAAATCGCGAGAATCTTCGAACAACATTTTCAGACGTTCATGCTCCGCCCGAAACCATATCTGCTTTGAAGCTTCTCACCTCACTCTCCCTCGTGAGGCCGGATGCATTCTCATACGGTGTATTAGCGCAAGACAAGATTTCGGGTTGTCTCCTGTATGGACCGCCTGGAACAGGTAAAACCATGTTGGCAAAGGCGGTTGCAAAGGAAAGCGGCGCAAACATGCTTGAAGTTAGCGGCGCATCGATCAATGACAAATGGGTTGGGGAAAGCGAAAAGCTCATTCGTGCAGTCTTCACCTTGGCCAAAAAATTGACTCCATGTGTCGTTTTTATCGACGAGGCAGATTCATTGTTGGCTAGTCGAAGCATGTTCGCCAACCGGGCTTCTCATCGTGAACATATCAACCAGTTCCTCAAGGAGTGGGACGGAATGGAAGAGACAAGCGCCTTCATAATGGTTGCCACCAACCGGCCTTTTGATTTGGATGACGCTGTCTTGCGGCGACTGCCGCGTAAAATTCTTGTTGATCTCCCTCTTGAGGATGACCGGCTGGCGATCTTAAAATTACAACTCAAAGGAGAGATATTGGATGATTCCGTATCATTGGATGAGTATGCCAAACGAACTCCTTACTACTCAGGATCAGACCTTAAAAACATTTGTGTCGCTGCAGCGATGGCTGCGGTGGAAGAGGAAAATGAGGCTGCGGCCAAACACAAAGGCCCTCACCCCTTTCAATACCCTGAAAGACGAATTCTTCATAAGATTCATTTCGAAAAGGCCTTGAAAAGTATTCCTGCAAGTATCAACGAAGATATGGTATCTCTAAAACTAATCCGGAAATTCGATGAGGAATACGGGAATAGAAAAAGAAGTGCCACCAAGTCAAATATGGGCTTTGGTTTTGCGGAGGATAAGCGCCATATCAAACGATGATTGACGACCTATCTAATCACAACGAGTTCAGTATCTATTACGGAGCAATAACAACAACATAAATCTTGTAAATGCTCGGGGGCCTTACAGAGACGTCAGATCTCGATTAAATCTATTAATATTAGAAGTGATGTACATACGTTATTATGCCCAGCCAGGCATGGTATGCCAAGTATGCAGTAGGAGGGTCAAAGTAACCGGGATCAGAACCACCGGCTCTCATCACCCAGAGCATTTGCGTGTGTAGATGTCGGTCGGTATCTGGCATCTTCAAGCTTACTTAGACCCAGGCCATTGGTCCTGGGTCGTGAGCTAAAGGAAGTGGAAATTGTTATGTGCTCTCCGTCGATATTTGGACACCCTCCTCGCCCAGTGCCCTAGAATAAGTGTCCTGTGCTCGCCGCAATGCATCCAGCGTCGGCTGCATTATCTTGCCTACGCCATCGCGACCACCGCCAAACAGATCTGGTTTCCATCGAACCTTCTTCCCTGTGCGGTCGAAGTGATTACGAATCTCCTGCTTCCGCTTTTGAATGGCATTCTCTCTTTCCTTCTCAGCCTCGTCAGCTACAGCTTGAATACGTGTCATGGATCTCGCCAGCGACTCAGCCAAGTATTGCACCTCTATGGCACGGTCAGGGTCGCCGGAAAGAAAGCCGTCCCAGAACTGATGAAGAAACTCAATCGTTGTAGCATGCGTAAGACCACACTCTTTGTAGATTTCAGGAGGTATCCCCATTGGAGATGTATCATCCGAGGCGCGTCCATATTTTTGAGAACGCTGTTGTTGTATGCCAGCCATGACATCCTTCTCTGCTTCTCTAATTGCGTCACGGGTGGCGCTGAGTCTAGATTTTGACTCGCTGTCGCTGTCACTATCTATGTCGAGATCTATGTTGATTTGCAGTCCAGTGTCCCCGGTTTTATTAGGCCTGGTAGTGTGCAAATTTCTCATTTTGGCGAGAACATCTTCAGGCCGTTGACTTCCGAGAACATCCCCTCCTCTTAGGGCAGGGGAATCCTTCGACGAGAAAAAGTTATTTCTTTCTTTGATACTAAGCATAATGCGCTGTTCTTCACCATCTCCTTTTAGGTCGCGTAGAGTTAGCTCTCGAGATGTATTATAGAGTCCCTGAGCGTCATATGCCGTGTTATCCGAGGGAGGAACATTTGCCATGATCTTTTCGCTTAGACTGTTAAGTGTCCTAACGATAGGGATATTTGCCCGAGGTCGCATTTCGACATCCTTGGCGTTGCCGCCTTTGAATCCTCCTTGGTTCTCTTCATTGCCCTCAATGTCAATTATATGAGGGACTGGCTGGGTCGTGATCTTGGAATGAGCGTCTTGCACACTGCTATCGATATTGTACTTGTCAAAGATAGCATCGGCTGGGTCATTGTCAGTGACGCGCTCCCCCTTAAGCTTCTTAGCAAGTTTGCTGAGGAAGAATCGCGACCAGAATTCCGCTTCCGTTAGTCTCGGTACATTTTCATTGTATATTCGTTTAATTAATGGATGTTGGGTAAATATCATTTGAACTTGCTCGACGCTGATGTTCAGTTTCAATTCCCCGTCCACGGTTCGAGGCTTAACAGTCGAGAGGACGTTGTATGCCCCCTTTTTTTGGGTTGTTTCGATGGCATGAGCTCGTAATAAGTTTATCCTCATGGACCAGAACTGGGAGTTGAAAGCAGCAGTAGTCATTGAATCTGGCTTAGTCTTCATGGCGCTCACGTACGTTTCGTGCAAACTCTTGTCTTTCTTCATGAGAGATTGCTGTAGCTCAATATTCGTCTTCAATTGGCTATCATCAAACCATTTTGGAGGTGCCGATTGTGCGTTCGCACCACCCGAGGATACCAGCGTGGCAGAGCCCCCTGCACCCTCTCCATTTGCAACGGGTGTTGAGGTAGCAGTCACCAACTTAGATATGTTTGCATCGCCATTCCGTAGATCGGCCAACAATCGTGAGAGCAGATCTTTGACAGCTTGAGCTTCTGCTTTAGCTTCTTGGGTGTTGAAATGAAAAAGGTAGGTGATGGGGTCGCTTGCGCTTTCCGATTTCTCGAATATTTTCAGCATAACTTTGGGAGAGCTGTCGGGAGTTTGCTGAAGATCTGACAAAGAGTTAGCGGCAGTACTCATAGCTAGAATATACGCTGCGGAGGATGGTTACTAGTGATGTTGGTAACTGGCAGCGAGACGGTTGCTGGGCCTCCCGAAACTGGCGTCCATGTTATGGCTTTCTGATCAGTCGTGAATGATAGGATGCCCTCCTTTTTTTTAAAGAGAGTGTGGCCCGTTGGGCTCGCCATGGTGTTTCTGATTTGCTGGTATGATGATTGATGTAATCTGGGGAGTTAACATAAGATTCAATAACTCCAATTTTGGCTTCAATTTATATGGGTTGCATCTCAAGGTTAATTCGCTGCGTCACAGAATGGCACAAGCTGGGATGCGGAAGTAGGGATGCTGCGGGCCCTATCTATACCTCTAGTGCACGATAAGGGACAGTGCGACGTGGAAATTTCCAAGCTAAGTTAAGAGATTGTGATACTAAAGGAGAATCCACTATTAGAGCAAATATATATAATTGCTATATGATATAGTATAAAGCGTATTTTTGACATTTTTTAATAGTATTAAATGAGCAGAGCGTTTTTACTTAATTAAATAACACATTATGATTTTTACTTAATTTAATATATAGGCGCATGAGTATATGCATTTATAGCATATATAAGTGTATATACAAATATTATAACCTTTGTTCTTATTTAAAAACCAAAAATAAAAAACAAGATATTACGTTTGGATATACTGTTTGGAAGAGAATGCTACTAGGCATTTGTTTTTTTGTTTTTGCGCTATTCTCTTCATAAACTGCCTCCCTTCTGCTTACCAACCTGTGGGGCAGCCTATTTACTTGCGTACCTAGGTTCCCATACCTCCTAATCCACACAAGATAATCCACCACGACTCATTAATTACGACTGCTGTACTCGATAGATTGTTCCCACTGGCCCTGCTGAACAGCTTGTTTTTTCACGAACCGGATCATTCTGGACTCTTGTTTGTTTTCACTTGGTTAAGAACGACGTCACTGGCCTCGAAATCTGAACTTGCTCAACATCTGAGTCTTTTCTTCTATGCGCCCGCGCTTAGCAGTTTCGCTACACCCAATCTTTGAAGAAAGCCCACTGCCTATCTTCATCACAGCGCCCGCATAAATTAAAGTCTTGGTAGGCTTTGCCTTCACCATCTGTCTCTTCCGATTAAACTCTTACGCGACATCCAACTGCCCACCGTCTCATCTTCATCTGACTGGCAAGCATCGCCGCGCCGTCTGATTGAATCAGCCGTTTCCAATCCCACGTCAAAACGATACCAGCCAAAACGTCAAGACTCGGAATATTTGAAGCTGGCACACCACGCTCTTCCGTCAATAGCAAGGCCGCCGACGCATATCTTCCGTGGGTTTCTGCAGTTGAGGGTTGCCGCAGTCCCTCGACCCTGCTGCGGAAGCCTATTATCTCCCTTTTTGTACGATATGTGGTAGGTGCGATTTCCCTGGCAATGTGCATTCGTCAGAAGGACCTACCAGGGACAAACTCTCTCGCAGTTGAATCCTTGGTTATCCAGATATCTTTTGGTGCCCCGCTTTATGATATCACACTGCTTTACCCTTTTTCTTTCTTTCTTTCCTTTTTTTTTGTAGTTGCGATTGCCCTCAACCTGGATATTTACCTATTACCCCACATTCAGATGCTCTTCTTCCATTGCTCTATTAAATGTTGACCTACTGACAAGTTATACGTTTAACACTGAAGCAGAATAGCAAATGATAATGTCTCCTGATGCCGTGTCGTTGTTATTTCCCGATCGGCCTATTCGGCCCCTGCCGAAGCGTCGACTTCGCGAGAGATTATCACCAGAGGTTGCCAACTCGATCAAATATCCCTCCTATATCCATGACCACGTTCCTCTTTTCTATTATCCAAGCTACACCACAAGAGATGATAATGGGACATCGACCTTGGCAACAATTGGCTCCGCTATTCAACACCACCGTGATGATTCCAAGCGGAACTCTACGTTGCGACGGCATGGAGCTGCAATGACAGCTGTAATCAACGGCGGATTGCGAGAATCCCTTGGAATGGGATCTTCCCAAAGAATCCAGGGAATGATCATACCGTCTTCAGCAACATTGGACTCGCTTCGCCAATCGATTGACTTACCACTGCTCGCGTCCACTGCTTCCTCAGTGGATGGCTATGAGTCTTTTGAAAACACCAACAACAAGAAGAAGCGGAAAATTCCCACTACTGGAGACTCATTAGCGAATAGTAGTCTTTCTTTGACTAGCGAAGTCAACGCATTGTCGAACTCTATACCACCTCGATCGCCAATGAACGAAGTTCACAGTATTAGAGCACAGCTACCCCCAACAGGCCCATTAGGGAATAGTTCCCATGTGACAGGCAGTCAAGGATTGTCTGGTTCTGGTAGAGGGAGACTTGGACGATCAAGAAATGGACGTAGCCCCCTACGAGCTTTGTCGGACGGAAGCAACGCCTGGTCAAATCGTTCAAAAGCTGGCTCGTCCCAATGGGCGTCGCCTGGTATGTCTCTTTGACTCCTATATGAGCACATATAGGCGCGGCAAGCTGTGCGTAGGCTGACAATTTCACTTATAGGTCAAGCTGGGAGCGGTATTATATCTAACGCAATCGCTACTGCTGAGAAGGTAACTCTACAGGGACAGGAGAATGGAAGTCTCTTGCAGCCGCGCATGACCACGTATAAGGAAATGCCTGCTTCAACGCAGTTTACATTCACTTGTGAACCACAAACACCTGGGGCTATCCAGTGGCCTGGTGAGTTTCTTTGGCCTCCGTCATGACCGTCGTGTTCTAATCATCTTCAAGGTCGTTCTGTTGGCCATGGCGCCCCAGCTCAGTCTTTACAGCATTTAGCAACTGTCACCCCCCAAAGCCCTAGTCTACGCCAGAGTGGTTCATCCAAGCAAGCCAATAGGATCCCCGGTGGCTCTGCTAGGAAAACCCGCAGCCGCTTAGAGAGGGAGCTTGTCATGGCTGCGCGTACTCGACGGCAGATTGCGACAGAGAACTATTATAACAGCCTGCTGGACTCGACGGAGATTTGGATTTGCGAGTTTTGCGAGTATGAACGTATTTTTGGCGAGCCTCCTCGCACTCTTATTCGAGATTACGAAATCAAGGATCGTCGACACCGGCAGGAAGAAGCAGATCGAAAGCGGTTACTAGAAAAGGCCAAAGCAAAAAGCAGGAAAGGGAAGAAGAACAGCAAAGTAGCCACGAAAGGCAACCATACCGTCGAGCCTATCTCGGATCAATCTCACGCAACAGCTCGACCTGCTGATATTTCCCCCTCTCTGACTAATGAAAGGGGTCGCTCAACCCACTCTGACGACGGATATGAAGACGACTACGAAGATGATTATTCAGATGCACCACCTAGGCACATGGCAAACGCCGCGAGTGCTCACGCAGATCCTCTACCCCCCCCTCGAGCTAAAACATAGGGTTTTGGTCAGCTACACGAGCGGCAGGGTTTGGCTAAGCAGTTATTCTTGAGCAATGATTATCATTTATGTGCATCGTACACATGTCATGATGACCCCCTATTACATGCGATCGATAAAAATCGGACCTGGTGTCTAGATTATATGGCTTTTGTCTTCTGGGGACCTCTCCAGTGGGTTTTGCATGTGATACTCCTTAACTCTCCCGACTAGGCCTATATACAGGCATTCAGCAGACTCCAGGCGGTGATGATTACTCGGAGACATACTTTTAACCAACTACTCGTCAGCTTCGCCCCATAGCTGGAAACCATGCCCTATCATGGAAGCTAATCTGGAAGCTGCCAATGCTTCAGTTCGTATGACACCGCGAAGCTGCGATGCCAGCTTGGGTAGCTGATATTTGTACGGCACAATCTTTGCAAGGCAGCAAAATAGCCTTGCTGTATACGATGGGTGATTTCATGGGTTATTTCTCATCGCTTGTGAAAAAAAGGGAAGACGATTACCCTCCTCTTAGTGGGGGATGCAGAGTAAATCTACAGGTATTACCAAATCTTATGTAGAAGAACGTTGATAGGTGCCTTATGTTCGTCATCGGTTCTAGCTCGGTTAGTACTGTGGGGATTATCAAGCATAGCTAGCTGAGGGGCATTTCATCCCACCTCTTTGAACCGCTACACACTTTGAAACCGGATGCAGTCACTCAAGAGCCTTTTCCACAGTGAGCTGGCAGGGATATTCCTGCCCTAATAGGCTCCGATATGGCCTCTGCTAAAATCGTTCAGTTGCAATCCCTAACACCCGATCTCCACGAGCGTGCCTGGGTATCGATACCGCATCCGAGTCTCCCTCTAATTGCAACCGCGCATGGAAAGAATGTCACCGTCTTCTCCCTGTCCACACTTTCTTTGCACAGCGTTTTAGCCGATGGCCATTCACGGTCCGTCCGAAGCGTGTCGTGGAAACCCAACCTGCCGCCGCATAATCTATGCCTCATCACAGGCAGTTTCGATTCTTCCGCTGGCGTGTGGCGCTGGGTCAACGGAGGTGACGAGGGCGACAATGATTCTGCCGATGGCCTTGGCAGGGATATGACGAGAGGGCTGGTACATGAAGATTCTGCCAAGACTGGCGACTGGGACTATAACCTTGTGCTTGAGGGCCATGACTCGGAAGTCAAAGGCTGCGCCTTTTCTCCCTCCGGCGCCTACCTCGCAACTTGCTCGCGTGACAAGTCTATTTGGATTTGGGAGGATATAGCCAGTGCTGAGTCTGAGGATGACTGGGAAACCATTGCGGTTCTCAACGAACACGAGGGAGATGTAAAAGCTGTAGCCTGGTGTCCCGATGTACCCGGGCGCAACAATGTTGGACAGCGCTATTACAGTGTCGACGTACTCGCCAGCGCCAGTTATGATAATACAGCACGCATCTGGCGCGAGGACTCTGACGGAGAGTGGGTTTGCGTCGCTGTCCTACAGGGACACCAGGGAACGGTTTGGGGAGTAGAATGGGAGCCACGGCCAAAGAATGATGCATTTCCTAGACTCATGACGTTTTCGGCCGATGGAACGATCCGCGTGTGGACGCTTGAGCAAGGGAAGGACGGCACCGATGCAGATGGTTCAACAATACCCCAAGATCGGCTGGGTGGCATACCAAGCACAATGAGAAGGTCTTTTAGAGAACAGTGGAATTGCACAGCCGTGCTGCCCAAAGTACACGACAAGGACGTATATTCGGTTACATGGAGCGCTGAATCTGGCCTTGTAGCCAGCACCGGAAGTGATGGAATCGTTGCTTTGTACAAAGAAGACAACGACGTTGTCTCAAACTTCCAGTCTACCCCCGAAGATAATGCGCCTAATGACTCGAATAACGATTCCACTGCCAGTGGTCCACAGTGGCAGCTTTCGACCACGGTTCCCAATGCCCACGGGCCGTACGAGATTAACCATATCACCTGGTGTCGGAGACACGATGCGGGTTCGACAAGAAGAGGAGAAGAGGAAATGCTAGTCACCACAGGCGACGACGGAGTAGTCCAATCATGGCAAGTGGAAGTGAAATCTCCATAACCGGTACAGGTGCCCAGTGTATAAACTGGTATAATAAACAAAATGGAGAGTACTCTGGGACATGTGACATTGACTGCGTGATATATCTAACCTTGATTGACCATGCATCTTGTTTAAGTGTCTGGTTTATTTCTATATGATTAATTAAATATTCTCAAAAAGACATGATGAGATAATGAGTTTAATTGAAAACATAGGATATAGGACAAAAGCAGCAATTATAAAATATTAAATGAAGATTAAAATATTTATACCACATAAAATGAATGTGTACCTAAGGTAGCTTGGGTAGGTTGACATTTAACTGTTCTATCGATATAATGGCGATAGGATACAGCGGTAGCCGCTCTTCCTATCACACTTTACGTACCTAGTAGCGTACTCTGCAAGGCCCTGCCCTGCCTTAGTCCCTGTGGCTGCCAACAGCTCTCTTGAGCGTGCTGCACTGGCCCTGCTGCCTCCTCGTCTTCTTGTACTTGTACATGGCATGTCGCATCTTGGATACCGACATCGTATCCCTGTCAGATATTCACAAGCTTCAGCCCGCCCGTATTTCCTTCTAGCGGACCGCGCTCCGTCTATGTTTCTTCCCTTGGCCCATATCTATTGGCGCGACGCTTCGAGGCACCATCGACGTCATCTTCCCCAGCGATAGAGCCCACGAGCGGCCTCACTTTCCAAACACCTCCTTGAACCAGCTCGTGCTTGGCGACGATGGCGACCCCTACGCTCAACTTCATTACGTTCAACCAAGACCATAGCTGCCTTGCTGTTGGTAAATACTTTGGCCCAGATACCGGGCGATGGCCCCTCTTCTGACTTCGCTGGCATCGTGGACTGACAGATTGTTGCAAGGCACCTCCAAAGGCTTCGGCATCTACCATACGGACCCGTTCTCGCGCATATTCAGCAGTGATGACGGCAACATCGCCATCATTGAGATGTTGTTCTCAACCTCCCTCGTCGCGCTCATTCTCTCTCCTCGACATCTCATAATTCAAAACACCAAGGTAGGTGCCTAGCAGCAAACTAACCAGATTGACGTGTTGCTCATTGCTGCAACTGCAGAGGGCTTCGGTCATATGCGAACTGACCTTTCCATCCGCCGTCCTGGCCGTACGACTAAATCGCAAGCGGCTGGCCGTTGTCCTCGAGGAGGAAATATACCTTTACGACATCAGCAACATGAGTCTTCTCTACACCATCCCCACCTCCCCGAACCCATCGGCTATATGCGCGCTATCAGCATCCTCCGAGAATTGCTTCATCGCATATCCACTTCCCAAACCTAGAGAAGAGTCTGATAGCAGACGGCCCCCTCATGCTCCACCGCAGTCGGCATATGTTGCTCCTACGTCTGGCGAGGTTCTCATGTTTGACACCTTGACGCTCAAAGCCGTTAACGTTATAGAAGCTCATCGCTCGCCGCTATCTTGTATCAGTCTCAACAGCGAAGGCACGATGTTGGCAACTGCAAGCGAGACGGGTACCATTATTCGTATATTTTCGGTGCCTCGAGGCCAAAAGCTCTATCAGTTCCGGCGTGGAACATATCCATCAACCATATACAGCATGTCCTTCAACCTCAGCTCAACGCTGCTTTGCGTATCCTCTGCGTCAGATACAGTGCACATATTTCGACTTAGTCCTCCGCCTGGGCATACCACCCCGGCAGGTGCCCCAATTGAATCCCTAGGTTCCCCAAGACAAGATCGGTGGTCCCGAGCGCGAAGCCACGACGGTGCAGATTCACCCAGTAATAGCGCGACTGAATCTCCCAAAAGTGAAACCGCAGAGCTTGGAAGCAATGGTCCTGCTCCAGATGCCAGTGCCGCACCTGCTAATCGCGGCCAAAGTGGTTCTTTTAGCAGTATGCTACGACGGTCATCTCAAATCATGGGTCGCGGAGTTGTCGGCGTTGTAGGCTCCTATCTACCACAATCAGTTACTGAGATGTGGGAACCACTCAGAGACTTTGCCTATATCAAAATCCCCAAGACCACTGGACTCGGAGCTGGAGCTCGAGTACCCGGCGGGCAAAGCTCTGGCCCACTTCGCAGTGTCGTTGCAATGAGTAGCAGCAGCCCCCAAGTTATGGTGGTAACTAGTGACGGCGGCTTTTACGTTTATAACATTGATATGGAGAATGGCGGAGAGGGTTATCTCGTAAAGCAGTTTTCGTAAGAACCCTTTCCTCCAATTCTGTGTTTCTTTCAATCCCACCTTGAGGCTTTGCTAACATGACGTTTCACAATGCAGAGTTCTAGAGGGTGATAGCAAAAGCGATCCTTCGGCCTAATTATGATTAGGTAGGTCAATGTAACATGGTCCGGTTGATGGTTAGTTCTCGAAATATTTTCAAGATGGGGGGATAGGTAGTAACTTTCAGGGGTAATAGGGCGGGTCTTTGTGATTATACTTTTCTCTGTTTTTTTTGTCTTTTTTGGTTTCTTTCTTTCTTTCTTTCTTTCTTTCTTTCTTTCTTTATTCCTTCCTTCCTTTCTTTTTTTTTAAATTAATAATGCACTCGACCAATGCCGCGGACTCAAGTGCCAACTTCTGGAGGTTTGATTCAACAGTGCTGCTTGGCTAGCTGGTTGAGATCTGGGATGTCACTAACAGGTCAATTCACAGTCAATCCGTTTAGGGATTCAAAAGTAGGAGTAGTGGGCAATCATAATTATGATTATATTTTGGATGGTAGTTTGGTAAAGCATTGTGAACTAAAGCTTGGATAACCAACACCCTCCAACTTGACCAAAAAAAAGGAAGAAGAAAAAAAGGCTCGAGATGCTGCAGTTCAAGTTCCAAGAAGTCAAATACGTGTGCATTCCATCCAGAAAGTTCAAAAGTGATATCAAAAAAAAAAAAAAAAACTTCGCCAAAAGTACTACAAGCCAAAAGTGCGTCGTCATCTAGAATAGGGGCGGTTCATGAGAGCAATTTCTCTGGCAATCTCTCCCCACTCCATTTCCCTTCTATATGGCTCCGAAGAGCCTCCCTTCTGTCGAATAAACTCTTCCCATCGCAGCAGCTCGTACGCGAAAAGGAGATGTGGCTGAATAATGACATTGAGGCGGCGAGCCCTAACGAAACAATAAGCGCGTGGGAATGAGAGGTTGAGCGCCCGCATGACCTCAGCTATGCAGATAGTAGCACTCCTGGAGACCCCGACACGGCAATGAACCAACGTGGCTATGCCTTTCTGAACTCCTCGATCTATACATCCGCCTGTTAGTCTCTTCTGTTGCACATTAAATGAACTCGAAGGGGGCTCATCTCACCAATGAATTCGAGACAGCGCCCAAACTCTTTGGTCAATGGATCGATACCATTGTCCTGGATACCTTCAACAAAGCAAATGTTTTCAGAGTCCCATTTCTGGAGATCTTCCTCTGACCACGATGCAGATTCCCCAATACTAAGTATCTGGTGAATATTAAGCTGCGCTAAGAGATCCGGGTTGTTCGCATGGACAAGATTACCCAGATAGAGATAATCCAGGATTCTGCTGGGAAGCGAGCCATCCAGATCAGAAAACCACGACGGTTCAGCTTTCAAAAGTTTTGTCATGTCATCAAGGCTTTTCCCCGAAGACATTGGAGATTCACACAGCAAACGAGGACTTATGGCCGACAAGAGCGACACATCGGAGGGATAAGCAAAGAAATTGCGACGTTCAGTCGTATGAAGCCTGAGCCAAGCATCGGGCACAGGCAACCCCGTATTATAGCTGAAATAAGCGATAGCAAGCAGAGTTGATTCTGTATAGCCGTCGGGGCAATGGATAAGGATTTTTCGACCTCCCGCGTCCGCGGTCGATTTATCGGACTCAACATGTTGCAGAGCATCGCTGTCGCGATTTTGGGAGCTAATGGTATGGGACTCTGGCACAGTGTTATGGGAGATGTGATGGATCCATTTACAAGTGTTAAGGATGGCGTCGGCCTCGGCTTGAGACCAGGTCGGGGGCATGATACTCCCCGATGATGGGAAGCAAATAGAGGTTGGACGAGGCAACTCGCGAGGATGCTCAGCAATGAACTGTATGGCACTTGGATCCAGCCGGCCCGTATCACTGCATTCGATGAGGACATCAAAGCGCTGCTCTTCGGCACTACCAGGCTCCGGGCTAGGGCCCAGGTAGACATTGTGGCATATTTGGGAGGTTTCTGTCATATTCCGCATCTCCTCGTGTTCTTGCTGCACCAGGTCCAGGACCTGGCCGGTAGGGTTGCCGGAGACATCGATGGCTACCAAGCTACCGTGGTTTTCCTCAAAGGCAGAAAACGGACTTGTGCAGACGAAGGTATTATACACGGGCATGTTTCTCGCATGTGCGTGCTGTTTATTCCGCCATCGTTGTTGAGCGACAGCCGCTTGCCATGCGACCTTCCGACTCTCGTCAGGGTCCAGCCCATAGACGATGATGTCAGAGGTGGCAGCGACTTTGGTGGGCTGGATGTGAAAATTACGAACAGACAAGCCCATCAAGGGATCTGCATCGATGAATTCGGGAGCTGCCCCCGACCGCATGAATTCCGACGGAGCAATGGCGCCCTTGAGGCGAGCAAAGCCGAGGTTGCCATCCGCCTTGACAATGGTGATTGCTCTCAGACAGTTTGGCGTATTTCCAGGGGGACATTGATGGCCATCGAAGTAGGTGCGCTGAGTGTGGTTGTCCGGATGTAGCCCGTGCAGCCAGGGGAAGACCAGCGAGGGAGGAGGGAGGAGTTGCCTCGAGGCGTAATCCAACGCCTCGGCGACGCTCGCAGCATCTATCTCATATATGGAAACATGCTCGCCATCAAGACGGACAAAGTCATCGGGCGGGTAGAGCAGGGAAGCCTGCGACAGGGCTCGGGGATGGCTTGGGGACGGAGAATGCGTATACGAGCCGGAGTCTTCCTCGGACGTGTACTCGTACAGGGACACGGGGCTATTGGGAATCGGGATGGGAACGGAGCCAGGCAATTGTGGGGGCGATGCCAACCCGAGCGTTTGGAGTGGAGAGGCAGAGTTGACGGGAGTGTTTCCGCGCTGAGATGCGTTCTTTGGAGGCAGAGCGGGTCTGGGGACGGCAATTGTCGCCATGGCTGGATTCGGCAACCGGAGCTTCAATGGAAGATGATGGACAGAGGCTGGGAGAGCAGCAGCACTGGCATCTTGTCCTGGGGGGTGGGAAGGGGAGTCTATCTCCTCCAGCGGGCTTTCGGAGGTTGGCGATGGTTTCTTGTGACAGAGAGTACGAGCGAACGGGCGGCTAAGCGGACTCGTACTTGTATTATACCAGGGCTAAGGATTTGGAGGTTACCCCAACGGCTGGGCGAGGGATGGCCACGAGACAGGGATTGTGTCTCGGATGAGAGAAGCTCGGATTCTGCACACGACCAAAAAAAAGGAGAAGAAGAAAAAGAGAAAAACAAAGAAATCGAGGATGGATTAGTCAAGATGGTGACGCAGGTTGCAGAAGCTGCATGTTCGCGGGAGGGTGCATAAAACAGGTGGCTGGAACGAGAGGTTAGGTAGGATGCGATGCAAGAAGCAAGAGATCGTTGGATATGTAGCACATGAGCTACCATGTCAGATAAGGTAGCGCGAGGGAGGGGTCCAAGAGCAGGGCAAACAAAGAAACAGCGGATCATTGACGCCGCAGGTCGACCGTACAAAGTAACAGTCGCACCATACTGTGCCTGCCGCCAAGCTATTGGCTGGATAGGCAGATCAATTGAACCTAATACACGGAGACGGTCGCATGATGAGGTGCAACAGACAGTGATGCAACAGGCCGCATCTTATTGGGCATGGCCGGGGGTCGCCACTTGAGCAGTTCTTGGTCTGTGAGCGCAGGCTTGCCAGGGAAAAAAAAAAGAAAAAAGAGCCCCTCATTTCAACGGCTACGGTACATGCTCGTCGTACTCGTACACATACTGCTATAACGGGAAATGCGGGGGAAGAGGGGGAGAACAAGGTCCGGCTGCATCTCATCTTGCATTCCTCGCTTTGATGTAAAGAGTTTTGTATCAAGTTTATAAGCTGCCTACTAGTACCCTGCACAGAAAAGGAAATCAGCTTAGCAGTAGCCATATGTAGCAGCGGTAGTTGCAGCAGCAGCAGTGACGACGACAGCGACAGCGACAAAGACGATAGCAGTAAAAGCATCAGCATTTCTTGTTTAGGGTTAGTTTATTCAAGATAACCTTATACCCTTTAAATCCATCCTTTGCACTACACCCGTATAGCGTTATCGCGATTAGTGATAATCCGGATATCAACACATGGAACACAAATCTATAATACTAATACCATCCGCCCATAACTCCATCGCGGCCATAACCATTGCCCGCTCTCCTTCGCTCACATCATGAGTGGCGGCTTTCAAAGGGCGCTGCCACTTGCGCTTACTATATTCTGTGGTGTTGTGGGTGGTCAGTACCTGTAGCCACCGAACAGCCCTGCGCTTGGCACGACTGCTAATTCTCGAAAAGGATTTTACACTTTCCAACCTTTGTTTGCTCCCCAAGACCAATCACCAACGGAAAAGGTGCGAGGTAAGAGAGGTTGCTGCATGATGAAATCCTCATGTGACCCGTAGTTAATGCGCAATCGCCTACAGAGACAACAAAGAAATGATCAACGGCGGGCATGGTAGACTTTCTCCCAGGGGCTCATTTCGGTGAGTGCAAGCAAGCCACTGCTTACTTGATTTAAGCCAAGATTGCTCACATCACATCTGCGACGTCAAGTAAGATTCATTGAGCTCATTAGAATTATATGTCATGTCATGATATGAAAATGATATTAAATAAACGGGGCGTCTATACCCCAGAATAACTTGTCCCAATCTATTGTATTCAAATCCATCTTCCCTTCGAGCATTTGCCAATGTTGATCCATTAGCACGTTATCAGGCTCAGAGGCCATGTTTTGCTGCATCGTATTCATGCGGAGATCTTGATTCGTTGAATCAGGTGTCATAGGAAACGATTCCCCGTAGGATGAAATCCCCGACAATTGCTGTTGTAGGAGATCCAGGGCGCGATGCTTGATCTTGTACTTTTTGAGAATCTGAATGGATAACTCTAGCAGCCTTGCCGCTGGTGGGAATTGGCCTTGTGCCTCGTGCAAAATCTTCCATGCACCAGCCACATCATCTTCTCCCTCCCCATTATCTTCCGAGTCGCCCTTCAGACAAGCATTCAACACAAGTGCAGTACTGGCCAGGAACAGGCTACGCAGAACCATTGCCAACCTCAGGCGAGAGCTGAAGAAGGGAAGACATTCTCCCTGCAGCTGATGGTCGAGCTCGAAAATCACCCTTGCTGACCTCAGGCAGACGTCGCGTGAATAGGCATATGCTGGATCGACAGTCCCCTGGGCTAAGTAGGGAAGGTGAATCTTACACAGCTGTCGGTGTAGTAACAGATTCAACATGTAGCGTTGCGCAGTGATAAAAGGCGAGCGTCTGGGATCAGTGACAGGGAGATCATCCAGGCTTGAGCAATCGATCGAAAGGAAGTCTGGAACTTCACGAATGAGCTGGTTGAGCTTTGCATCCGCATCCAGCACATTTTTGTATATCTCGGACTCGGAAGTCGGCGTGGCCAAAGGCATGCGGTCAACCAGTGCCCGACATACTTCTGCGAGACGGATACGCTGGACGAAATAGGAGATGCAAGTGGCCTCGGTTGCTGGCCGATCAACGATCTCTACCCCCTCCATGATGTCTTCGTCGTTTGCATTCCGTGGCTTGTTTACAGCCATCTGATTTTGGTGGATGAGATAAAAGCCTTCTTGAGGACAGTTGAATTGAGCCAGTGTCCTTTGGAGATCGGTTAGCAGTCTTTGGATGATGATGTGTTTGTCATCATATGCTGGAAGGCTCAGACTTACCAGTCAGTTGCAACCATGAACCACCAAACTCTCCTTCCAATTTCTTTCCGGGCCTCGCTCATCCGAAGAAGCGTCGGCATCGGGCTGCCTCGAGGATCATCGAGACGATGCAACGACAGCTCCGTGGCCATTGCAATGGCCGACATGAAGACACTACGGGCACGGTATGAGACGCTCTCGTGATTACAGAAGACGAAGAACAGGATGATGAGGCCTTGGATGCATTCCAATGACGCATGTGCGGTTCTCTGCGCATGGTCGACGACATCTAGCGCCTCCTTGGTCCAGAAGGTTGATTGCACATTCGCCTCGGAATAATCTGAGAACAAACACCTGATGTCATCGGGGGCTGACCACGCATACGTTGTGCTTGCGCATATGCTTAGGAGAAGCAATATGCCGCCAACGTCGACACGAACGTTTGCCTCCAGTCCCGCGTATATGTCTTCCACGAGGCTCTGCACCGTGGGAACATGTATGATGTGGTAAAACAAGGAGATATCAGCTATGTACTTCTGGAGTATGATGCGCATCTCATCTCGGCGAGGCAGCCAGATGCACTTGACGGCATCCACCGGCCCTGTCATGGACGCAGGATGACCATTTTGAAACGCATGGGACGGCTGAGTTGGGGCTAATCGAATGGGACAGGTACGAAAGATGATGGGGTCAGATATCAAGGAATCCTACTCTAGATCTCAGTCTCACGAAAGCACATCTTACCGCGCAGAGACAGCCCCTTGGGGAGGAATGCTCGGGCTCACCATCAACTTTTGATCGGAGCAGGATCGCTCCAGCTCCAGCGCGTCGGCTGTCAAGCGCTGCAGTCTAGGTGGCACTGGGCGTGAGGCCAAAGCAGGAGTATGCGCTTGTTGTGTTGGCTTCTCAGCCCCTTTCACGGAGTCGCCATCCTTTTCGCTCCCCTGGGCTGCAACGAGACTCTCCAGACGTTCCAGACGAGCCAGCAGCTCCAGCGTCGACGCATCCTTCAGAGCAGGCGATTTGACCTGCGCTTGACTTCCCGTCGCTGCCGCGGCCGCCACCCCTTCATGTTGGCAAACAACGCCGCGCGACGTACAGTTGGAGCATGGAAACTGGCGACTGCAGCGCAACTTGCGTACCCTACACAGGTGGCACGAAATTGGGCGTTGTCTCGGTTGGCGACCCATTCTGGAATATGGTTCAACAGGATAAGCCAACAATTTTCTACGAAGAGTCCATGGAATGAAAGGAAGCAGTTGCCATTCATTTTCCATGGGCATTGGGGGAGTCGCTTGTCGAAAGATTTTCCGCGGAGTTTCCGCGGGCACGAATTAGTTTCTGACATCATGCCATGAGACAGCCAATGATAGCTTAGGTAGTATTATTCACTGACACAGTTCTTCTTGTGAAATAGAGAAACTGTTGCTTGTCGGAAACAGCTCCCAAGTCCGTCGACAAATTTTTCAACGACCGTTTTCGTTGAGTTGATGGTTTCTTGTCTCAACCAAGCATCACTATTTAGTACCTCACCTATCCAGGATTCATAAACCGAATTCCCATGTGATATTCATCTAACCAGTGAGGCTTTGCAGACATGACGTCCAAGAGCATATTTGCTCCACTTACTGATTGTATATGCAGTTTTACGGAAGTTTGCACTTACAGCATTCATCGCTAGACACTCCTTTGTCAAACATGAAGCTCCAATGCAAACGGTGATCCATAAGCTGATTGGCTGGCAAACCGGTCTGCGGAGTTTAAACTTTTGGAGAGCTGCTTACCTCATCTTGGAGTACTCCGACATCGTCTCACTGCTCGCGGATCTTGGCTTCTAACCGCATGGCCTGCTGCAAGACAATATGAACAAATACACCTGGTCTGCTTAAAGGCGCACCCTAGAAGAGATTCGATTCTTGTTTACAACCTGAACTCCTAATAACGTTGAAACCGCTCATCCCTTCTACCCAATTTTTTCACATTGACACGATATCCTGAGACCCCATACGATGACCTGAACGGGTCGCCACGCCCCTAAGTCAAACCATCCAACTGTTTGGATCCCTGACAACCGCCATTCCCATTTCCTAGATATGCAATACCGCAAGTCTCATTTTCAACAATGATGAGACTAAGTCGGGGGCGTCTCTTGTCCCATTGGTGCTCTTCCTCAATCCAGAAATATAGAGTCACGGTGCTGCCAGGTCAATATAGCCGTCATCTCTCGGTATATCCGTCTCTTCGATCTAAGCAGACGCCGGACTTTAGCTCTGGCTTTACCAGAAGCTATGATCCTACATTGGAATCTGGCCGTGGCCCCATGTTTAGAAAAGTAAATTTCGGAGTGCCGCAATTCTACCCTCGTGACTTGAAACGGCGTGTGGACGAATACGTCGTGGGCCAGGACCGTGCTAAAAAGACAATCTGCTCTGCCATCTTCAACCACTACCAGAATCTCAGGAGGAGGCGTCAGCACGAGCAAGAGGACAAGGAGAAGCATGAGAAACTCATGCGCCAACGGTTCGCACGTGATAGAGAGCTGTCCCAAAGGCGATGGGATGCTCTCCCTCTCGAAGGTAAGTTCACTATTCACAGAGACATCAAGATCCATGCCGGTAACACGGTCTATCAAGACGAAGTTTCTGGACAAAGTTCCTTGGGCCGCCAGGCATCTGAGCTCGCGTCCGAAGCAAGCTTTAATGCTCCGATTTTCAAGCCCGAGGAGCCGGCTGTTGCCGAGCACATCAAGATTGACAAGAGCAATATCCTTGTGATTGGGCCGACTGGTGTTGGCAAGACGTATATCTTAGAGTAAGGGCCCAATCCCCACCTTTCATAATTGTATGGCTCGTTTTAGCTGATGGGAACTTTCAGAACTCTGAGCAAGAAGATACAAGTACCGCTCACCATCTGCGACTGTAACTCCCTAACCCAAGCAGGCTACATTGGACAAGACGTGGAATCCTGCATCGAAAGGCTACTTATAGAAGCAAACTATGATGTCAAGGCGGCAGAGCACGGCGTGGTGGTTCTAGACGAGTTTGACAAACTAGCAAGACGAGAGACAGCAACGGGTCGGGACGTCAGTGGCGAAGGTGTTCAACAGGCCTTGCTCAAACTCGTTGAGGGAACAAAGGTCACCATCAACGTCAAGGACAATCGTTCTTCTCGTGCGGCTACACCCATTCCCACCAATTACACTGCATCCGGTGCCCCGACAACATCAATGCCAGTTAGCAGTCCGCCGGGTAAAGTGGACCAGTACACCGTCGACACCACCAACATTCTCTTCGTCTTCTGCGGCGCTTTCGTGGGGCTGGATAAGATCATTCTTCGGCGGGTCTCAAAGCCGGCCATGGGGTTTGGAGGAGATGTTCAAAGTCGACAAGCCGGGACGGGAAACAATTACAACCTGCCACCTGAAACATACGCCCACCTAGCACACTACAGCGAACAGTCTGCACCAAGTTTCACTCCAATTGACTTGGTAGTATCCGAGGACCTCCAGCGGTTCGGCTTTATTCCTGAGATTATAGGCCGACTGCACAACATCTGCGCTCTCAGTCCCTTGTCCAAGGAAGACCTCTATCGAATTCTCACCGAGCCACGCAATAGCCTGGTGGCTCAGTATACTGCGCTGTTTGAGACATACCCGTCCCAGCTGTACTTTACGGAAAAAGCACTAAGCGCCATTGCCGAACGGGCACTCGCAGCCGAAACGGGGGCACGAGGACTGAAGATGGAGATGGAGCGCGTTTTGGCTGAACCAATGTTTGACGCCCCGACGCCATACGTCCTCATCACTGAAGCCTGCGTCAACGGGCATGAAAAAGCACCGTACTGGGGGAAAGATGGACGTCTTGAGCTTATCCGGAGGCTAGAAGAAGAGCAATTCAACCCACACAACTCACAGCACTCACTAGAGGAACTGGGGCAGGTAGACGAAGGTAGAGGATGAGATTTGAGAAGCATGCGGAAACAGTTTCTTCTTTTTCTTTTTTTTTGTGTGTATATGTGTATGTGTTTTAGACTAGGTGGTAATATGCATAAGGGCACTTCGAAGAGACTTTCGAGGCAAAACTTATCTTGTAGGGGTTGTTGTCCGTGAATGGCTTGAAACCTTGATCACGGATCGATGGATAAAGTGATGATTTGGAAGAATGGCACTGGCTCCTGATGTAACATCATTCTAGACTCGTCACTTGAATAATCAACGCCATGCGAGAACCCTGTCTTGCATACTCTCTAGGACTAAAGCTATACATGTACAAATGTCGTTTTTGATAAAACCTCTCCCATGCCCGCCCCGATTGCGCGAAGCTTGGAGCGATATTATCGTGTGTTTTTTTAGTTTTTGGGAGGTGACTGAACAACACCCTTGCCAGTATAGCCGGGAGAAGAGATACCAGTGAGGGGATCAGCACCTTGAGCCTATTCAAACAGTTTAGTTAGTCATATCCTAGCAGCGTCAGATTGAAAACGTATATATATACCTTGAGAAGCTCGTTCGTGGCCTCCTGGTACTCCTTGTTCATGGTGTAAGGCGCAGGCTTGGCGGCAACTCGGATGGCGGCGAAGAGAGCGAGACTGGCGGCAAGGCCGACGGCAACTCCCCAGGCAACACGGGCACCGGTTCCGGGAGCGTCAACGGTGCGGGGGCCGTGAGGGCCGAAGGCGATCCAGTAAGCTATTGTCATGATATAAAGTCAGCAGCTGAAGAAGAAGATGATAGGGCTGCTGGTGGTGGTGGTGGTGACATGTTCAAGGTATGTTTTAAGCGTATTAGCAAAAGCTCTTTTATTGATTGGCATGAAATTCCCAGCCCACTCGGTCCAGGAATTGATGACACTAAGCGCCTCGGCTCGCCTCGAATTGGTGGACAGTTTCCGTGCCAATGAAGAGCGGATTGCCGGATCGTTATCGTCCGAGCTGAAGTAGGTCCTCGAGCGAAGAAAAACAGAAAAGAAAAGAGTCCGCAGCTCCGGATCGAGGCAGGAAGCTCAAGCCAGCTCTCCCGGGAGGGATTTTCTCAAAAATATAATCAAGGTGCACCACCTACCAGCCTTCTTCTCCTGCAGGGTCAGGTCGTTCCAGCTGCCCTTCATGCGGTCACGCAGAGCCATCCACAGGTCGGCCTGCTCCTGGAGAGGCATTCCCTCCCAGCGTTTTTCGATGTTGGACAGGGTCGGGTTGGAGAGCGCCTGGCTCGACATGGCCCTGGACGCAGCCAGTCGGGTGGTCTGCGTCAAGGCATTGCCTCGCAGAACCATAGAGCGCAGCATCTTGTAGGGGATTGCGATTGACGGAGCTCGAGGGGAGTTCAATTGAGAGGTAGCAGCGAGGTTGACGGTGGTTGCGGTAGTGCAGCGAGGGGATTTAATTCCCGTGCTCCATATGTCTTTGACTAGACAAAATCATACGACTTCTAGTTGGCTGGTGATGAGTATGGAGCGATTAGCGCAAAAATCTTTGACTACTTGCCTTGTGGGCAGCTAAGCTATCTACAGCCGCACTACGAAAATGTTGCAGGTGGGCATTTCAAGGCATAAAAGCAGTAGTATATCAGTTTACTAATGAAATATTAACTTTTAGTAAATAGCATTATTTTATTCAAGCTTTATTTCCCTTTAATTGATAGCACTTTGATATTATTTTAAACATTTGAACTTTTTTAAGGAACTTTATTAAAAATATCATATAATATTGTATTTAGTTCTTTTTATTTTGATAAGATACAAGATGCCATTTTTTTTTAAAAAAAAATACTGCTTAAAATTTAATATCATCACCAATTGGTTTAACCGAGGCTATTACCCAGCATCTTCAGCGTGTAAAATCACACCATGGTGGGATAGGGCCCTGTACCCGGTGCTGCCTTGTTCCGAACTAGCCTGTGCATCGCATGGCGGATCTGCATTGTCATCAAACAGCAGCCTTCCAAACTGCATCACACATCATTGCGCCAATACTTCCATATGGAACGTCTAACAAGGCTCTTTGCCGCCGCCAACTATGGCTGAGACAACGCTTGAGAAAGCACCAGAACTAGATAGCCCGCCGCCAAAGCCCTACCATGCGAAGCGCCCTCACAAAAAGTCCAGGTCCGGCTGCCAGAACTGCAAGGCGCGAAAGGTGAAATGTGACGAATCGAGGCCCGTGTGCCGGTCGTGTAAGCTGCGAAAGGCCGACTGCGTCTATGTTGAACCCCCAAAGCCGCGCCCCTCCGCCGTGACGACTTCGGCGCCGTGGGATTCGGATTCGAAGTCATTCGGGGGTCGAGCACTGGCGCATCATACCAAGTCCGCGACGACTTCAACAAGTATATCTTCGGCATCGTCTGTCCTGTTTTCAGCGCCTATACTTTCGCTGGCGGAGAAGTATAGCAACCAGACTGCTTCTATACCTGCCGAGTTACTATGGTGTCCAGTCGGGATTGACGTGGCGGATATGAAGGCACTATGGTTTTATGCGACTCAGACATGTGGCTCCTTTTCCATTGTCGCAAACGACGGCCATAAAAATATCATGAGAAGCCTGTTGGTTCGGTTTGGATCCGAATCTCCCTTTCTGCTCGACTCCATTTTCGCCCTCGCTAGTTTGCATATGCAGCGTCTCAACCAACAATTCGATCCAAAGCGTGCTCTGGCGTATCGGGTCAAGTCGTTGGCAGGATATCGCAAGGCAATTGAAGAAGCTAATCCGGCAGACTTCCCCGCTCTGGTCGCAAACTCTCTGCTTCTAACGGCCTTGTCGTCCGAGAACTTCCGGGAGCTAGACGGCACTCATTTATATATTCTTGACTGGCTTGTCGTATGGAAGGGCATCATGCTCGTTATGGATCTAGTTTCCAAGTCTACCGTTGTCGAGAGCGGCTTGAATAGCCTATTCTTCCGTCCCCCTACCGATGTGGAAAAGACTGCTTTTATTCCCCGTCAACTCCTACAGATGGTTTCTTCCATCACACCGAGTGATTTCGATTACTCATTTAGGGAGGCATATGTTGAGACGTTGAAGTATCTTGGCAGTCTATATATGGATTTGGCGCAAGGGCCTTCATCCATGAGGAGCCTAAGGATCATAACCATCTTCACATATCTCCCTAGCCAGTTCATCGACATTGCGCGCATGTCGCAACCGCGCGCTTTAGTCATCCTTGCTTACTTTGCAACTTTTTTCAAGCTGGTTCAGTGGGAAGTTTGGTGGCTTGAGGGCGTGGGAGATCGCACAATACGGGATATCTGCGGCCATCTCGGTCTGGAATGGCAGGCCTTCTTGCAAGTCCCATACGCGGCCCTCGATGCTCAAGACCGAAAACAGCTGTCCAAGATCATACTTGAAGATACAGAGCTGGTCTCGCCCCAAGGCTACCTTCTAGAATACGAAACACATGTAGACCAATCATTAGATTTGCTGTGAGATTACGGTCCTCATTAGCTTGGTCTTGTCATGTCCCTGGAGCCTTTGTCTTCTTGGATCATCTTCTTGAGTACTTGTATTTGTTTCGATAGAACTTTGGTAGAATACGATGAATTGATGAATGGATCAAACATATAAGCCTACGTCGGTGAATTTGAATGAACTTTTTTTTGTTATATTAATAGTCGCAAAAATTTCTCAGCTCTTGTACATATAGCCCATGGATAGCATGTTTGAAGAACTCTTACTATCAGATAGCTGTTTACTACTATACTAGTCTATACACAGGCCAACCATTCCCAGCTCTTGGGACGAGCTAACTGAGGCCTTTTTAATTCTTCTCCAGATCCGCCAGAATCTTCTCACCCTTAGCCTTGGCTGAAGCCAGGTCGCCAACCATGTAGAAAGCAGCCTCCGGCAGGCTGTCACCCTCGCCGTTGAGGATGGCCTTGAAGGAGGCAATGGTGTCCTTGAGGTCAACGAGCTTACCCTCGATACCAGTGAAAACCTGGGCGACGGTGAAGGGCTGGCTGAGGAAACGCTGGATCTTACGGGCACGCTCGACGGTGAGCTTGTCGGCTTCGGACAGTTCGTCCATACCCAGAATAGCAATGATATCCTGAAGACCCTTGTACTCCTGGAGGATCTGCTGGACACGGGTGGCGGTCTGGTAGTGCTCCTGGCCGACAATACGGGGGTCAAGCATACGGGAGGTGGAATCAAGAGGGTCGACGGCGGGGTAGATACCCAACTCGGAAATACCACGGGACAAGACAGTGGTGGCGTCCAAGTGAGCGAAGGTGGTGGCAGGGGCAGGATCAGTCAAATCGTCAGCAGGGACGTAGACAGCCTGGACGGAAGTAATGGAACCCTTCTTGGTGGTGGTAATTCGCTCCTGCATACCACCCATGTCGACGGCGAGGGTGGGCTGGTAACCGACGGCAGAGGGAATACGACCAAGCAGAGCAGACACCTCGGAACCGGCCTGAGTGAATCGGAAAATGTTGTCGATGAAGAGCAACACTGTGGAGAGGATATTAGCGACATGTATCTTTAAAGAAAAATCGAGATCCCAAAAAAAAAAACTTACCATCCTGGCCCTCCTGGTCACGGAAGTACTCAGCAATGGTCAAACCAGTCAGGGCGACACGGGCACGGGCTCCCGGGGGCTCGTTCATCTGACCGAAGACCAGAGCGACCTTGGACTCGCCATCAAGCTGAATGACAGAGGTCTCCTGCATTTCGTGGTACAGATCGTTGCCCTCACGAGTACGCTCGCCGACACCGGTGAAGACGGAGTAACCACCGTGAGCCTTGGCGATGTTGTTGATCAGCTCCTGAATGAAGACGGTCTTGCCGACACCAGCACCACCGAAGAGACCAATCTTTCCACCACGAGCGTAGGGAGCGAGCAGATCGACGACCTTGATACCAGTGACCAGAATCTCGGCAGAGGTGGACTGGTCAGTGAAAGAGGGGGGGTCAGCGTGGATAGGCAGGAACTTGTCTGTCTTGACAGGTCCTCGCTCATCAATGGGGTCACCAGTGACGTTCAGGATACGACCGAGAGTGGCGGGGCCGACGGGAATGGTGATGGGAGCACCAGTGTCGGAAGCCTTGGCACCACGAACAAGACCCTCAGTACCTATCATGCTCATGAGCTTTCAGAGTCCATTGCGAAGATGAGAGAGCGGAAATATCCTTACCGTCCATGGCAATGCAGCGAACGACATTCTCGCCCAAGTGTTGCTAGACAAAGACGTCAGATGCGGTACTTAACAGCAGCAACCAGGCGTACCTACAGCGACCTCGAGGACCAGCTTCTGGTTGTTGTTGGTGGTCTCCAGAGCGTTCAGGATAGGTGGCAGCTTGGCGGTGTCGAACTTGACTGTGGAAAAATCAGCCGCGTGCTCAATGGTGCCGCAATGCTTCCTATACACGTCGATATAAAAAAAAACGCAAGGGTTTTCACTAACCGTCGACGACGGCACCAATGACCTAAGGCGGTTATTAGCGACAGTTTTCACCATTGACCATTTGTTCCCAGGCACGGCTTACCTGGTGGATCTTGCCATCTCCAACGCTCTGAGTGCTTGCAAGCCTGACGAGGGGGGATCGGGGGAAGGCTGGTCGGATAGCTCGTCGAGCGGCAATTGATGGGCGGGCAGCCCTTGCGAGGGACGAAACGCCGCTGTCGGGTTTGGCACGGTTAGAGGTCTGTTCCAATTCGCATGCAGGGCAAGGGATCAATGGGCGGCGCCACATTGAGGCGTGAGGACTCACCTCTTGAACATCTTGGCAGATGACAGAGAGCAATCAGCGATGGATATGCAAATGAGTTGGTTAAGGCCGGGAGAAGTTTTCAAAATGAGCAGTTTAGGACGGGAAAGCGACTACTCCGGTAAGAGCTTTCTTCCGGGTCACGTGCAGCCACTAGGATTGGATTTTGGGCCGTTTGACCCCATTCCCCCATCTGCGAGATTTCCAGCGGCGTGCTAGCGGTAGGACTCCGTGTCTTTCCGGCTAGCAGCGCTGCCAAGTTTCCTCTTCGACTACCGCACTGCCAACCCTATTTGTTGATGATATTCCTGAGGCGTGCTCTCTCTGCTGTGGTGCTGCCTCAGTCCTCCTGTGCTTGTGAGGGGGTACAATGGTACTAAGGTAGGCAGTTCACGGTGCTCAAGTCCGGCTTCTACTGTCTAGCACGATACACAATCACTCAACCGGAATTTCTAATTTCCTTTTCTTCTCGGTATTTCTGGACAAATATGCTACTTCGTCTTCAGGTCGCATCGCTTCAACGCCTTGGTATTCAGGCACTAAGGCGTAAAGGCCTCTAAGCTACTATAGTTCGCACCTTTAAACATGGAACCGAGAGTCGCGGGGTGCAGTGGGGTGGATATTCTTCCTCGGTACCTACGCCTTGTTAGGTAGGTGCACATTTGCAGCCAGCCCGTGCTTGATTTGACGCCGGATACACGAATTCATTGATGCTGGAATTTTCTCTCCATGAATACCCAATACAAGGACTAGTTTGTCAAATAAAGTCGGCTCTTCTAATACGCTCCAAGATCTAAGTTGTGTATTTCTCTCTTTATCCAAAAATGACGACTGATTACTTAATGTAAGGAAAACTACTACTTTCGTAGACTATCTACTCCAACGACAACTAAAATCTCATCACCTGTATACAACCTCTCACCACCGTCCAAGCATCTTATCCCCAACATCTTCATCCACACGTGTTTAAAGATGTACATAATACCACAATATCACGCTCCCAATGGTGCAAAGGATGTCCCAATTCCATTCTCCTGCTGCCCCGCTTACATGTCCCAACAGCTGTTTCCTAGTCAGAGCATTTGCCTGCAACCACAAACTCCTCTCGTGCTGCATAGACACATAAACAGAAAAACTCATGAGCACCCAAAACGGAGTTGCTAGAAAAGTGACTGCTATTTGTGCCCAGTTTCGGAAGAAATATGCCATCCCCGATAAAGAAATTGGTACTGATCCCACGTTCACTGCCTTAGCGAAGTCGAAATATAAATCCTTTGCCATAACGAGAAAAGGTCGGATAAATCGGACCGCTGTAGCTTTTTGCATCGCAAGTAAAGACACTGGCGGCGATGGTGAAGGCTTCTTGGACGAGATAAGTCCCTGCTCATTATCATCTTTTCTCGGGGAGTTTGGTTGCCAAAACTGTCTAGCGGGCGTCTCGGTGTTTGTACCAACATTAGCAGATGGAATTGTCTTGACTGTTGTTTTCTTGAGAGCTGTGATTTCTGCCTCTCGTGCTGATATGATCTTCCTGCAAGACTCCAGATGTTCCTTTAGCAAAGCATTTTCTCGACGCATTGCTTCCATCGTATCATCTTGTGGCTCTATCTTCTTTCTCAAGGAATCGCGTTCTGCAAGAATCTCGTCAAGATTTGCCTCGGGGTTCTGATTCGATTCTCTGTCGATAGAGGAAACGATGTTATTTCCTGTTTCGATTGCGGCGTCCATCGCACCATCGCTTGATATCAACCGACTTGATTGTGATAGGTTAACTGGGAAGCTGTTTTCTCTAGTAGTAGGGTTGTATCCGTCTTCCTCGTCTCTTTCATCGCTAGCAGCGGCCAGTTCCAGTTCCTGTGCCAGGTCTTGCGGAAACGAGGATTCAGTCTCATTGTTATCCACAACCGAAAGCGGCATCTCGTTGCCCTCCAAAGTAGGGCTTTCCTCTCCCATCAAAGATTCGGTTTCAGATTTCTCCGCTTGCTCTCCTTCACAAGACTGCTCGTCCAAAACCGCGATTCCAGAAACTGCTGGGTTGGTATGGTCGTCCGCATTGGGTGGAATTACATCTGTAGCCCCTATCGATTCGCCATCTTCGTGCTTCTTATTTAGCTCAGCAGTGGCAGTTGTCGTCAGGCTGCCATGTTCACTCTTTGGGGCTGAGCTTCTAGCTAGCCGTCTGCGCCGTTCCGCAAAGTAACCTAAGTCTGCTTGTGCAAAGTCACTAGGAATCTCCTTCTCCTCCCATGTGCTTGGTTGCTCGGTGCCAACCGGGTTTGGCTCGTTTCCAGACATATTCAGTTCAAGGAGACGCGGATCCGAGCAGTTCAAGGGTTGGCCAGGGGTAGGATGATTTGAAAAGTCTTTAGAAATAAAAGGCCAAATTGAATCGTTATGTCGAGAGAGGACGCATAAATGTCTATATGCTCGGCTGTGTAAATAAATGTCTTGATTTTCAAGGTCACAGAAAGGAGTGTATACGGTTAGCAGAGATGTGCAGAATATATAGCCCATTCCAAGACCCAACCCCTTGCTTAATCGTCAAAACGGGCTGTCGATACAAACTTTTGCCTTTGACAAAAACGTGATGAATAAAGGGGCTTCTAGTCAAAAGAGATGATTTCCTATCTAGTAGGGACTGAAAAGGTGTTTTCTTTGTCACCTTGCAGTGCTTCATTCACGCTTGCTTCAACACCATGGTGTAGCCCCGTTGGGGATTGATTCCGCCTTCTTTGTTGTGTAGACCAAAAAGTATGTTAATGGGGTAAATAACATTGTGGCGAGCGGGCACTGTTCATAACGTGCGGGCGCAATCCATTTGGCTCGTCTTTCATCCAAAGCTTTGCTCCACTCCTCTTCCAACACTTCTTTGTTTATAGCAACACATGAAAAAAAAATCAGGATCCGGTAGCATTCCATAGGCACAAAACGTCTTTGTTCATTTCAACTACTTAAAGGGGCTATATTTAGCCATACCAGCCCCTGGCTCCTGGGCCGGAAACGGCTAGTTCTTGTCGGTGTTCAATCATGGGCTCTTTGATGCCCATTGTGTCGATTATGTCTCGCCATGTTTCCATATCCATGGAAAAAATAGCTTGATGCTTGGATGTTGCCTGGCGAATAGGGGTGGTGTCATCTATCTCTCGGTCTACTGGTGCTGCGCGCGGTATCAGTGTCAGTTGCACGACGCGGAAGCTTATATGTGCCCTGCACCAATTCAACACTTACCTAATGCGGGGAGACCATGCTCGTCGAAATCAATTTCCACTCTCCCATCACGGATAAGAAAGCTCACGTAGAACAAATTCTCAATGGTCTGTCCAAAAGACTTTGGATTGACCACGAATCGCATTAGGTCGATTCCTCCTGTGCTTCGAAGCCCATGCTGGTGCATAATCCGGGTGTTTTCCTCTTCGTCCATGTCGTCTGTGATCAAGTCTGCCACTGTTTGCTGTGTATCAGCCTGGATCTTGTAGAGCTGTTGAAGAATCTTCCCGCATATGACGGTAAGGTCGTTTTCCTTCTTGGCGAGGTCGTCCACGTTGAGTATCTCAGGCCTCGTCTCCGTCAAACTATTTGGGCGAAACGGGGCATTTCGCTTTGCTGCCTTGCGTGCCTTCTTTTCTACCGATAGTGGACCTAGAAGGAATCCGGGCAGCGCAGGTCGTCTGATGTATGGCAAGCAAGCAAAACGACCGAGGTGGGCCCAATTCATCATGTCTCCCTCGTCTCCCACATCGTCATTATCATTGTCGTTTGATCTATCGTGTACTGTCCGCCTCCGCTGCCTCTGGGTGCTTGAAAGCTCCAGTGATTGATCACTCGTAATACCCCCACCATTTCGCATATATGTGATGCACCTGGAGATGAAGTCATCAACGTCAAGCCCCTGTGATAGGCTGCCTTGAGTAAGGCGTAGTGTTTTCCGATATGACAGGTCGGTCGTGCTGACAAGCAGCCGTGAATCAATGGTGGCTTCCGTAGTTTGTCGCACTTGCTTGGACAGTTCGTTGGCTCGTAAGATGGTCTCGTGCAGACCGTGAGAATCGCCCTGCAGATATTCCTCGCTGTTTTCTGTGATGTCGCGGAGGAGATCGCGGAATCCCTGCTGGACCTTGCGTCTCTCTTCTAGAGGTTGATCCGGATCATACACATCGTCCAGATCATCATCGTCCATTGTAGAAGCTGGTGTAGAATCTCGGTCTCGCGAAGCCATGTCGGTGCGCTTTCGTTTGGCGCTCGTTTGGCCCTGTGAGTCTCCTCTCTGCCTCACAGCCAGGCTTCCTCGTGAGGGCAGGTGGTGTGGTTGCTCCGAGCCATCAAACTGTGCACTTGGAGGTTCTAGATTCCGGGCTGACATGACTGCAGATGATTGTTGTCATAGTCGTGATTGGAGGATGGACGAATTTCATAAGCAGAGTATAATTGAGGCCCTGGTGAAGCTTACAGCCGCTCGGTTATTTGGCGTTTGAAGAGGCCAAAATACATGCAAGATGCAAGTCTATATGCGGCCCATGAAGTCTCAACTCGAAAGTGCATGATAAGCACTGGACGCGCTTTGCGTTGAACCATTTACGCGGTAATACAGCGCTAGCCTTGGGCGGTAACCACCTACACAATCACGCTAATTCACGCGTGTCAAAAGGCCCGCAAGGTCCGTTAGTGCCTCGAGATGCACTTGCTTCCGTTCTTCGTATCAATCCTGGAGATGCTCCGCAATCAGATAATACAGCAACGGCCAAACGACCACTTGTATGCACCATGGTGGTGAACATGGCTTAGCACTACTGCACTTCGTACCTGATAAACCGAACAGGGCCCCGATTTGCAAACAATTACGCCAACGTCGGCTAATCGGGCCAACTATTGGCTGTTTTGCCCGCAACGTGCACTACCAATGAGTGATATTCTTGGAGCTGTTTGTTGCTAGGCTGGTTCATCCCAAGACTTCAATACAACATCATATACATGTAATCGTGCAGAAACATCAAACCGGTCAAATATCGACCTAATAGACAGTATCTCCGTCTGTACCTACTACTATAGGTACCTAGTAGGTACTAAGATTAGTACCTTAGGATAGAGCTTCGGGCGCTATAACTCTCGCTTCGTCTCACATACAGATGCAGTGTTCATTCACTTGTTCCAGAAGCACATGCAACTAAACCAACCAACCTACCTAGTACTCCGTACGTGTACTACATGTACCTACATGGCGGAAAGCCACATAACCATACCGTAGTCCGCGGTTCAACGGAGCTTTTCCAGGTTACCTGCAGAACACCAATAGCGGTAAACTTTAGCTGCCCGACCTACCTATCCACTACAGGCCAGCTTTGCATCTCTAGACCTCCTCCATGTGCTCTAGGCACAGCGCCAAGGTTTGCTCCGCCGCTCCCTCCGCCCCCACGGCTTCTCGATAGCCATCTGCGGAGAGCAGAGTCGCGTGATAGCTTGCTGGCATGCGCATTTCAGCCCGGAGTTCGCAGTGCATCCAAACTTAAATCGTACATCTACCCCTTTAACTGAGCCTCAGGGTCGACGTCAACCTCGTCATCTTATCCCGCACGATACTTGTGATATCTGCAAGGTCCCCGCTCTGACAGTGATCAAGCTTGTTCACATATCATCCTTGCCACCATATGGATATATAACCTTCGCTTGATGAACGCTGCGCTGCTTGACATTTGCTACATTCTACATCCCCTTCTCTGCGTAAACTCAGACTGAAGGACACATTCCTGAACTATAACCACTATATTCCCCATATTTCGTCACCGTCTTACCCGTACTCTCTACCGACCGCCTCGCCCTCATCATGACAGGACTCGTCTCCGCACCGCGTTACAGCGCGGATGACTTTGATACAGCTTCAATCCGCTCCGCGGCTCCATCTTATGGTATGTGTAAATCCGCGGCCAATATAGATTAAGATTCGATGTTGTTGGGAAATAAACGGTCGTCGATCCACACTGGCGGTGAACGTCTGGAGATGGGGATTACTAACGGAAAAGACAGTCTCGGAGGTGCCCTCATACCGTTCGAGGACTACGTATAACGAGGCGTCTCCAGCATATACGCCAAGGGCAGCAACTACGACGACGACAGCGACAGCGGCAACAATTGCGGTAGCGGGGACGTCACAGCGCATCTTCTCCGGAGCCTCAAGCTCATTAACCGGAAGACAGACGGTTGGGCTACCGCCACTTCCACCGTTAGCCTCCCCGAGGATCCTGAATGAGCATAACTTTCGCATTCCTACATGGTCGGCTGGCAATGCTCCAGCAGCCCGTCATTACCGCAAGGTAGCGGAGAGACGGGTCATTGATGGACGACTCTTAGCCGCGGCTGACCTGATTGGTATGCGGGACTCTGCCTCCACGATTAATCGGCAGAACGAGAGCAACGAAGACCCTGTTCTCCGTCCGCTAGAGGATCCTTATCTCGTGGGCGAGGAAGCTGCAGCTGAAGCCCGCCAGCGGAGGATAGCCCGTGAGGTTGGGGAGGAGATGTTGAGGGAAGAGGATAAGCAGTGGGATTGGATGTTGGCTCAGATGAAGCGACAGGAACGAGATAGAAACTGGACCCGAATGCGACAAGAGGCAGTCAACAGCCGGCGGAAAACGTTGCTTCGACGAATTGGCGGACGGCTACTATAAGCGACGACTGATCTATCATTTACCATCTATCATTCACATCTACATCTACATGTCATGTTAACCATGTTAACCACGCCATCATGGTTGCTGTTGAGGAGTTTATCTTTTGGAAGTTACTTACAATTGCTCGAATTATTTGGTCCAGCCATTGTAGGCCACATTGGTGTATGTTAGTTCTTTAGGTTGAACAGTAGTTATTCTCTTATCCTTAAGCATCTAGTACCGAAAATACGGTTCTCACATATCGTTTATTTACAAGCCACTTTATTCCAACTTCCGCAACATCAGCGCTCCAGGAAGTGTATTACTCTTTGACACGGTTCCGATGAGTTAATAAAAATCTCTAACACGAACAGCCTGAATTCCAACCCTCGTACATTATTTACGCACTTCGCTGCCATACACATCGCGTAGCAAGTAAGACATTTCCTTTGTCCATCTTCTGATGTGCACGATGCCTAGAAACACAAACACTTAAAAAAAAAAATTGAATATTGACCAGAGCCATTTAGCTGTAAACATCCTTTAAACGGTAAAAAAAAACATGCCCGTCTCGGTACTGTCGAATTCAACTCTTTGTGTTGAGCAAAAGTGCAACAATAAGTCTAAAGAAGAAATGGTTAGCATCGTTGGCATGATACGAGCAAGGTTGCATACCCATAAAGACCTAGGACTTCGCCAAAGATAAGAATCAACACCATGCCAACGAATATTCTAGACTGTGCCATAAAAGCACGGACACCGCTATCGCCAACAATACCGATACAGTATCCAGCTGTAAGTCCAGTCAATCCCACAGATAAGCCGCAGCCGAGGTGCATAAAGCCTCTATGTTGGATGTTAGCAGATATGAATCAGGAAGACTCTCGATCGATTCGACGAACGTAAATAGACTATAACTCTTCGCTGAAGGAGCCGCAAGATCTTCGGCGATGAGAACTGCAATGACAAGCGAATAAACCGCCAGAATACCGGACATGATGACGGGGATCAGACACTAGAAATTGTAAGTGAGCCCGAGTGCCACATTACGAGACGAGCCTGAACAACGCACCTTCATGATGAGATCCGGCCGAAAGGTTCCCACGCCAGCAATGCCGATGCCTGATTTCGCCGTGCCATACGCAGCACCAATACCTAATAAATCGTGAGGTCTTAGCAAAGTCGAACGATAGATAAGAGTTCAAATCGGCGAAGAGGAAGTCGTACATCCAAATATCATTGCAGCCGCGATGCCGCCCTTGACGAAGCGTGTCAGTCAGTAGCTGTCAGGGGCCCCCGTCTCGCTCAAAGGAGAAGACTCACCATGCCGATGAACGGCGCAAACTTGGGAGCAAGTTCCGACTCCATGATTGTAGCTGTGGCTATTGTCGTAGGAGGAGGAGAAGTAAAGACGGTCGACGACACAACCACGCGCAACAAGATGGGAGAAGTGAGGCTTCGGCACCCGGTGTTGAAGCAGGCGTCATCACGGCCAATAGAGGCATCGCAGATCACGTGATAGAGCTCTATTCTCGTTTATGATTGGTCCGGCGAGCTACCCTGCATCCTTTGAAGAGCTTCGGAGTGCAGACTAGTGCTCCGTGTGCTTGAACGACAACTTCGACTAAAGAAGCATTGTCCGAAGTTCTCCCAGTCGAGTAGGACGCTGGGTCTTGCTGAAGTTGCACTTGTTCGCTTGGCCTTATCTGTTAGCATTAGTACCTCAGCAGTTGAGCGTGCTCCGCATGATTCTAACTGTGTACTTTTGCCTTTGTACAGGTAAGTATCAGAATGCAGAATGCCGACCATTCCACCATCTCAATATGCAATGCACGGAGCACTTGTTCGGAATCTACTAAGGTAAGTTTGAGCTGTTCAAGAATATCTACCCAGGTACCTATTCGTGGCTCTAGCAGTTGAAATCTCCTGCCCGCAGCACGCAAGTTTTACCTATAGGTTAGTAGTCCCATACTTTACATATCAGGTACAAGTACTTCGCCAGAACGTGCCTAGCCCGGGGTCGCTTTGAAAGCGCAGTGGCCCCCCCCATAGTGGCGCGCTGCATTGATAGCACAGGTTCCAGGTTGCTGTCTTCCGGGTATGTCAAATCCCCTGTAGGCGGTGCGCCGGTGCCAACAGCACGCCGCCAATACCACCTGTATCCCTTAGTAGTACGTCTGTACTTCTCATTCCCCAGCTGCCTCAAGCAGGTTATCAGATACAACAGCAAAGCCGCCTTACTGACCACAAGGTAGGTCGGTCGGCCGTCAACCAGCCTCTGCCGATCCAGCTGCGAGGCTCTGTCTATACAAATTGCTGGTTGTGCATCGCGAAGCGTCTGCTCTGTTGCGTCTGGACGGCTACCCGGGGCTCAAACCGCGACCGCCATCGTCACTCTCGCCGCAAACAAATCTTGCGCCCGCTCCCCTGATGCCACCTTCTTGACACGACGCAGCATCTCTTCTTCCTCATCTCAAGGTTACGAACATAGCGACATTGATATAGGCGTTGCATATTTACTCATCCCGGCCCGGTAACTGCAAACGCCTTGGAAAGGGAGACGAGCGCTCCACCTGCTCCCCTTTCTGGCACGGCCGAGAATTCGTTTCCAAGGACGACGCTTGACTTTAGGCTTGGGGCATCCAACACTCTCTACACTGCTTCACGGTGAGACGCGAGGCAACGTTGCTGGCTGGGATTGGAGGAATTCTGACCGCCCAGCAGCCGGTTTTGACGCTTGACGCCTATCTTTGTTTGTTCCCCCTCGCCTTGGCCTCCCGAGTACCTACCGCCTGACTGATCTTGTCCCTCTTCTTGCAGCGCAGCGAACATGGCCGACTATCAATACAATTCACGGGCTCCTGCTCAACGTCAGCGGGGGTATCCCGACCAGAACGGGAATTACCAACGAGATGCCGCGTTCTCAAACATCTTTGGCGCTGCCCCCCCTCCTGGGAGGTCACAGACCATGACATCGTCCTCCGTCCCGCCAATGCTTGACCAAGGCAGGACGCATACAATGTCGTCTGCCTCTGGTATGCGCCAACCGCCTCCTCGCCCAAGCCAGGGATACTATGACGACCGCGGGCAGCCACCACCAAGACCTCGACCGGGCGATAATCATATGGCAAACGGCCATTATCCGGGTCAACGCTCTGCTTCTGGTGGGCCCCAAGTTCTCTCATCCCAAGCACAATACTTGCAACAGCAACAACAGCAGGCGAGGCGCCCGTACCCGGGGCCCCCAGCCGCTGCGCCTCCACGGTTTGATTCTCGTGGTCCGCCGTTGCCATCTGGAGGCCCCAGGGCTCCAGTTCAGAGACCTTACCCAGGAGGACAAGGCCCTGCATTGAATAGTGACCCATACCGATCACAGTCTTTGGCTTCCATGCCTCGCCCACAGATGTACCCTCCTGCGCAGAATTCTTACCAGCAATCGTCCGCAAATCATTTTCGACAAGCACCCTATACTCATCATGCTGCCCAGTCGAGGACGACTGCTCAGGGTAGGGTGGTGCCAGATCGTCATGAGGATCGCTCAATGTCCTTGACTGGGGTTTATCACCCTCAAGATCGCGATGGCCAACAGACCATGAGTGGGCGAGTGATTCCCAATCGGCGGGCACCAGCTGAGCTCACCTCAGGGGCTGGATATCCGGTTCAAAACAGTGGCTATCCTCCTATGCCAGGTACTCAGACACGGACAGCAAGCATGGCCTCTTCGACTAGCGGTGCGGATCATGGAAGGACTTTCTCCATGGCCTCTGTGGCCTCAACGATAGCCCCATCCGAGTCTGACTCGGCCACACTCGTGCAAAGACCATCGAGGAGCAAGTCAATTGAGAGCGAGCGCCCGACGACCGCCACAACGAAAATCCGGCCCCCGCTCGTATACCCGGCCCTGCTTTCAAGAGTGGCTGAGTGCTTTCGGCAGAAGATTATCGTGGGCGACAGGACGAAGAACGAGCTCACGTATAAGAATGCCTTCAGCGGCTCAGAGGCAGTTGATGTGCTGTCCTACATCATTAGGACCACTGATCGAAATCTGGCTTTACTGCTTGGTCGGTCCCTGGATGCGCAGAAGTTCTTTCACGATGTCACTTATGAACATCGGTTGCGTGACTCGCAATCAGAAATGTATCAATTCCGCGAAACTCTCATGGACGAGCCCGAAGGAAAAAACCCTGTCGATGGTGTCTTCGTTTTGCTTTCAGAGTGTTACTCGCCTACCTGCACGAGAGACCAACTCTGCTATTCCATTGCTTGCCCTAGAAGACTAGAGCAGGTTTCTAGACTAAACCTGAAGGTTAACCCTGGTGGGCTGCGTAAAGAGGATTCGGCGAATGTCAATGACGACGAAGTCGACCAAACCGATGAGCAGAAGCTGTGGATCAACTCAGTACCTAAGGAAGTTGCTGATGCGGTGAGTGAGCGAGAAAAGAAGAGGCAAGAGGTTATATCTGAAATATGCTACACCGAGCGAGATTTCGTCAAGGACCTCGAGTACCTCCGCGACTTCTGGATTATTCCTCTGCGATCTAAGGCCTCGCCCATTCCCTTGCAGCGCCGAGAGAAAGTTGTCAAAAACATCTTCACCAACATCATCGACCATCCAAGTGTCCACGGTGTTAGCTCCAAGTTCGCAAGCTCTCTGACGACCCGACAACAAAAGGATCCCATTGTGCAAAACATTGGTGATATTTTCTTGGAATATGTGCCACAATTCGAACCCTTCATCTTCTACGGCTCTAAACAACTGGAAGCCAAGTTCGAATTCGAAAATGAGCGATCAGTCAACCCTCTCTTCTCCAAACTAGTTGATGAAATTGAGCGGCGAAAAGAGTCTCGAAAATTGGAGCTCAACGGTTACCTTACCAAGCCCACCACGCGTCTGGCCAGATACCCTCTGCTACTGGAGAATGTATTGAAATACACGGAGGATGGTAACCCTGACAAGGAAGACATTCCAAAGGTCCTTACCATTATCCGAGATCTTCTCGGAAGAGTAAACGCTGAGTCTGGCAAAGCCGAGAACCGGTTCAACCTCCGAAGACTTCAAGAGCAGCTTCGATTCCGACCCAACGAACGGGTCGATTTGAAACTGACTGAAGATGGTCGCGAGCTTGTGTTCAAGAGCCAGTTCAAGAAATCGCCAACTGACCCTGCCGAGTTAACAGCCTTCCTATTTGACCATGCTGTCTTGCTTGTTCGCATTAAACAGAATGGCAAGGCGGAGGAAATAAAGGCTTATCGCCGGCCAATTCCGCTAGAACTGCTTGCAATTCGGGAGATGGAAGAAGTCATCCCCTCTGACGGTACCGTCAAGCGCACATCTTCCAGCATCATACCAGTCATAAGAACCAATGCTTCTGATGCTAAAAAGGGAGACGGCTGGCCAATTACCTTTAGGCATCTTGGCAAAGCTGGCTATGAGCTTACCGTCTATGCCTCGAACCAGGCAGCACGTAAGAAGTGGCTAGAGTATATTGACACCGCGCAACAGCGCCTCCGGGCTCGTGCAGATTTCTTCACTACCAACATTATCTCAAGCAACTTCTTTGTCGGAACTAACCAGGTCAACTGTGTCTCGCCATTTGGTAAGTCTTTAATACATCATACACGTGATAGCTCTCGCTCCCACCCCCTCCCTGTTTTGCTCTTGGTAGTCTGTGTCTAACGCAATCCAGACGGTGGTCGCAAACTTCTTTACGGTACCGATAGTGGCGTCTACATCTCAGACCGCAAGAACAAGGATGCGGTGCCCCGACGTGTTCTTGAAACAACTAGCGTCACTCAAATTGATATCCTCGAAGAATATCAACTTCTTCTCGTACTCTCCAACAAGACATTACAGTCATATTCACTGTCTGCTCTGACGTCCGACGATCCTGCTCTGGCCAAGAGACCTAAGAAGATTCAGAACCACTGTAGTTTCTTCAAAACCGGCATCTGCATGGGACGGCATCTGGTTTGCTGTGTCAAGTCCTCAACCCTTTCTACCACGATCAAGGTGTTTGAGCCTAACGATGCCATGACGAAGGGCAAGAAGCAGAAGGGTCTCGGAAAACTCATGGGCGGTGGCTTTGATGAGCTGAGACCCTTCAAGGAGTTTTATATCCCGACGGAATCGTCCTCAGTTCACTTCCTGAAGTCGAAGCTTTGCGTGGCTTGTGCGAGGGGCTTTGAAGTCGTCTCTCTTGAGACTCTTGAGACACAGTCGCTCCTTGATCAAGCGGATACCTCATTGGACTTCGTGGCCCGCAAAGAAGGAGCGAAGCCTATTCACATTGAACGCCTCAACGGAGAATTCTTACTCAACTACTCCGAATTCTCCTTTTTCGTCAACCGAAACGGGTGGAGGGCTCGAC